CACTCTATCAACAAAGATTAAAAAACAAGTATTTGATCGTCTGTTTCCTGTGATAGATGGTTATTATTTGTTTACTTGGTTTCAATATTTTGGTGTCAAGCGGATGATTGTAAGGGGTAGCAGTAGGTATGTGTAGGTATGTGCATGTAGACGGTGTTGACATAAGCCATAATAGGCACAAACATAATATGATGGCAATGATGGAACTTAATTAGTGGACTTGTGAAAACTTAGTCTTTGAATTTAGTGAGGTTATTTAAAATTTGAAAAATATACTCTTTTAATTTTGAAGAATGCACTTTTAAATATTAATTTACTAAAATACCCTCATAAAATCATAACAGTAAATTATATTTTATAAAATAAATTTGTTTTGATAAATTTAATACATTTAACCTAAATTGTACGATCGATTATATCTTTTAATAATATTCAATCTATAAGATTTATTTGAAATTATAATCATCTTCCAAAAAATAAGAATAGTCACTGAATTAGAACGCCGTTTCTATTCGATACCGAATCACCACAAAATTTTGATACATAGTCGTCCCTATTGTAATTTGAACCGTTCCAAAATCGTTGTATGATGGGGAAAAAAAACAAAACAAACCGCATCGACAATGAAAAAGACCCATGACAAATATGTTACTCACCAAAGCATCTCGTAGCATGCGTATCATTATTCATAAATATAATGCCTTGTCGTGGGTCTTTGTAGGATTGTAAGCTCTCTTGTACAAATATGTGGTCACCAAAGCATCTTGATCTCACTAGCGCATCTCTTACAAACCTACAATCTACCATCAAGATGCATATGGAAAAGAGAGCCAATTAGTCCAAAGCATCTCAGTCTCACTAGCAGATCTTCTACAACATTTTTCTTTTGAATCATAAGCGTAAGTTCGACACGAGATGTTAGACAAAGAAAACCAAAAATCTAAGAATTCTATACGCTCAAACACGAAATTTTAAATTCAATGAAAACAAAGAAATTCAAGCGGTAACTCTATATGCTCAAACAACGAAATATAATTGTAAATTTACTTTAACTTAAAAGATTTAGAAGTAACAAAATTACAGAAACACAAAAAGCTTGAAATCATTAGTAACAAGATGGC